GGTTAGTACCTCTCCAGAACTGAACGTGACTGTGTAATAAACATCTCTCCCTGGGGGATTACTCCTTTCCTATGAGTATTCCTGATGTATATGACTCCCATTTCTCCTAGGAATACGTGTATGGCAATGACAAGGAGACTGGGGTACAGCATGGGGTGCAGGACATGAACAGTAAAACAGTCAGCACTGTGTTGGGGGTATTACCATGTGGGGCTGAAGGGGCTGAGATGATTGAGGGGACTGAGAGGACTGAGAGAGCTGACGGCGCTGAGAAGTCTGAGAGGGCTGAGAGGGTGGAAAGGGCTGAGGGGACTGAGTGGACTGAGGGGGCTGAAGGGACTGAAGAGGTTGAGAGAGATGAGGGGACTGAGAGGGGGTCACAGGACTGAGGTAGTTGAGAGGGCAGAGAGGGTTGAGAGGGCTGAGGAGGCTCAGGGTGCTGAGGAAGCTCAGGGCGCTGAGGAGGTTCAAGGGGCTGAGGAGTTTCAGAACTCTGAGGAGGCTCAGAAGTCTGAAGAAGCTCAGGGTGCTGAGGAGGCTCAGAAGTCTGAGGAGGTTCAGGGGCCTGAGGAAGCTCAGGGAGCTGAGGAGGCTCAAAGGGCTGAGTAGGCTCAGAGGGCTCAGGAATTTCAAGGAGCTGAGGAGGCTCAGGGGGCCGAGGAGGTTCAAGGGGCTCAGAAGTGTGAGGAGGCTCAGGAGGCTCAGAAGTGTGAGGAGGCTCAGAGGGCTGAGAAATTTCAAGGAGCTGAGAAGGCTCAGGGGGCTGAGGAGGCTCAAGGGGCTCAGGAGGCTCAGAAGTCTGAGGAGGCTCAAAGGGCAGAGGAGGCTCAGGGGGCCGAGGAGGTTCAAGGGGCTCAGAAGTGTGAGGAGGCTCAGGAGGCTCAGAAGTGTGAGGAGGCTCAGAGGGCTGAGGAATTTCAAGGAGCTGAGGAGGCTCAGGGGGCCGAGGAGGTTCAAGGGGCTCAGAAGTGTGAGGAGGCTCAGGAGGCTCAGAAGTGTGAGGAGGCTCAGAGGGCTGAGGAATTTCAAGGAGCTGAGGAGGCTCAGGGGGCCGAGGAGGTTCAAGGGGCTCAGAAGTGTGAGGAGGCTCAGGAGGCTCAGAAGTGTGAGGAGGCTCAGAGGGCTGAGGAATTTCAAGGAGCTGAGGAGGCTCAGGGGGCTGAGGACACTCAGCGCTCATAGCGCTGAGGCGGCTGCGCGCTTGGGGCAGTCCC